CATCCCTGCCTCCCGTTCTTCCCTCCCAATGCTGCTAACTTGCCCTGCTCCCATTTGTTGCCAGTGTCTGCGGGGGCGCAAGGCAACCCTGGAGGAGCTGCAGTCAGTGCACACTGAGCGCCACGTCTTCCTCTACGGCACCAATCCCCTCAATCGCCTCAAACTGGACAACGGGAAACTGGCAGGTAGGAGACAGGGCCACCCCTCCCCCCGCAGAGGCCAGCAAGCTGCCTCCTGGGGACACTGGTGGCCCCACTGCCCCGGAGACGTAGCCATCTGGGGGCTGTCCCTGGGTCACACACTCCGGGCACTGGGCAACTTTAGCCCCATCCTCTCTGTTTCTCTGCACTGGACCCCAACCCTCCCCCACAAGCACTGATCCGTAGAGCCCCCTAATGCGCTCTGCTCTCTGTTTAGGGGCTAAGGGCCAGGTCACAGAGGGAGCTGCTGGGAGTTAGGCACATTGGAAAATCTGGACCCAAGTGCAGCTGCACTAGCTGAGCAGGTTGGCTTCCTAGGCTGCAGGGAGAATGCAGGCCGCAGGGCACACCAGGGCTGGTTCTCTGCTGCCTTGCACCTTGGCATTGCGCTGGGTAAATGCCACCCCAGGTGCAGAGCTGGGGGCAGAATGTGGGGTGGACATGGCCAGGCTAAGCCCAGAGCACTGGATGAAGTCTCCATCACCCTGCGTGCCATGGCACTAGCCCCAGGGAGGTGGGGTGCTGGCTCTAGTTCATCACCGTGCCCCCATTGCAGGTAGCTTGGGGGTACTCAGCCCAAGCCAAGAGGATGTGGGATTGCAGCTGGGCCAGGATGATTCTCCTAAACTCAACTACCCTCGCCTGGCGGTGCAGCTGGAACAGGCTTCTGAGGTCCCTGGCAGGAACCCTTCATAGGAGAGGACTGGGGAGTAGCCTGATGGGGTGCCCCGACTCCTGGGGAGGGCTAGGAGCAATACCCAATGCCCCCATGACACTGCCAGACACATGCAGCTGTGACAGCTGGCCCCAATCCTGCCACCAACCTCCTCTGCCCCAGCTCTCCAGACCCTCCCACTCCTGGTCTCTGCACGGCACTCAGCACCCTGCATCTTCCCTGTGTAGTACACACCCCTGCACCTTCCCAGGCGCCTGCTGCTCCGGGCTCAGTCCAGCCCTGGCCACGCACCTCCACCAGATGCTGAAAAGCAAAGCCGAACTCTCGCCAAGCAGCCAGGCCAGGTGCCTCCTGCCCCCCATATTCCCCTCCTCCCAGGTGCCTCCTGTCCCCCTCACACTCCAGGCAACTCCTACCCTCTTGCCCCCCAACCCCCAGATGCCTCCTGCCACTCATCCCCAGCCCCCAGGTACCTCTTGCCCCCCCACCCCTAGCTGCTCCTGCTGCCTGCCTGTCAACCTACAGCGCCCCCCATGCCCTCCCACCCTGGTCCCTGACAGCCTCTCTCTCTTGCAGGGATCCTGTCGCAGAGGATGTTCGTCATGCTGCCCTGTGGGGGGGTGGGGGTAAGTGTCAGGCTCTGCCTTGGGGGACTTGGGGGAGAAGACTTGCGGTGAGTGGCTCAAGGTGCTAGGCCCCTTGCGCAGGCTGGACAGAACAGGAGCCCCCCTTCCCAAGGCGAAGACAGAGGCCTCGGCTCAGGAAACCTGGGGCTCAGTCACACAGCTCCCCTGCCCTCGCCCTGTGGGTGGGAGCAGGGCCTAGCCAGCCACGCTGGCCCCAGGACTATGTGGCATCTGAGGAAGTCATGGACTCTCTGGGCATGGAATAGTGCAAGGGACCATGGTCAGCTCCAGGCAATGGGATCCCAGGGTCAGAGTGACCCCCCATCAGCTGTTCAGTGCCCCGTGACATGGCTGGGAGGGCTCCTGCCAGCCTGGAGCCCCGATCGCCAAAAGCATTTGGCTCACAGAGGCCTGGGGTGGGGGTGGGGGCAGTGCAGGAATGGTCCCAGCCCAGGCAGGTCAGGGGAGCAGGGTCAGAGGGGCAGAGCAGTATCACTGGGGGAGAGCAAACCAGCCGTCCACCTTGCCCAATGCTCCAGACACCCCTGCTGCCTCTCTCCTTTCGCAGCTTGCTGCCCTGGGTTCTGTCCATTCACTGCCCTCTCCTCTCCTCTCCTCTTCTCTCTCTGTCTCTCTCTCTTTCAGGAAGTGTCTCACTCTCTCCTCGCCTTCCCACTCCCTGCTCTGGCTCTCCTCCTCCCCTGCCCTTGCTGCTGGGCCACTGGCTCCCTCGGTCCCATCTGCTCTCTCTCCTGCTCGGCCTCCCCTCTTGCCCATCCCATCCCCCCAGGCAGAGCAGGAGAGCGAAGGCTCCTCGGCTGGACGCTGGTACCCCTGTCTGTGGGCAGAGGGGGCGTTTGAGCCGCACACATGGACTTGATCAGAAGAGACTCTGAGGTTTCCGCTCTGGCTCGGCCCATGACGTGATCCTGATCAAACCAAGATGTTTGTTTAAACAGTAAAATAAAATAAAGAAGGTAAAATGCATTTTCTCCATCCCTGCCCCAGCCCCAGGCGCAGGGGAGCCGCGCTGTGCAGAGCCCGCAATGGACTCCCCCCGCCTCTGGCCCTGCTCAGCTAAGGGCTGGGCCATGCGGGGAGCTGGTGGCCTGGAGAGCTGGCCCAGCCTGGGGACTCGACGTGCAGAGGCCTGCCCGACTGGCCTGGGAAGTGGAGTTTGGGGGTTCGGTCACTTTCGGCTGCCCTCCAAGGACTGAGATTCAGCTGTTGGCACCGAGCAGCCAGCCAGTGTGCTGCTGCCAGAGCCAGCCCACATTTCATGCTTTGGTCCCTCTGTAGAGACTCCCCCATGCCCAGCTCCGGCAGGGGCGGCCTGCCCCACTCACTGCTTTTTTATCCACTTGCTTCCAGGTGGATAGCGACACTATCTGGAACGAGTTGCACTCCTCCAACGCCGCCCGCTGGGCCGCTGGTAGCGTCACTGACCTGGCCTTCAAGGTGGCCACAAGGGAGCTCAAGGTAGGAAGAGGCCAGGAAATGAGCGCTGGCATCGTGCCAGTGTCTGGGGTGGGGACCCCTGGCCAGTCCCCTGGCTGATGGGGACTCATGGGGGTGCTCTCGCCCTCCTGTGTGGATCTCGGTGATGGCTCCAGGCCCTGGCATGTGCCCATCAGAGTCTGGGACCCTGGACAGCAAGCCCCAGGACACTTCCCTCTGGAAGCCAGAGGTACCTGGACTTCATCTGGGTGGGGCAATGGGGAGCGCTGGCAGGATCAGCGGGCTTGACTTAGTGATTAGAGGGCTCGTGCAGGCAGCCAGCTCAGAAGCAGAGGCAGCAGGGCCTGGTGCCCCCTGGAAATGACAGACTTGCCCTCTAGCTCAAGCCAAGAGAGAGATGCTCATTCAGCATGGGAGTGAATGGCAGCCTGCCCCGCCCAGCGCCAGCACCAAGAGCCCGTCCAGGAGAGGGCCACTGACAGCAGGATCTGGCACGAGAGTGCAGGGGCAGGTTTCACACCCCTGAGTGCCACGACTGGAGCCACTCGGGGTCTAATGTTGGCGTGCTCCATGCAGGGGCCCCAGGGCTGAGGAAGAGTCTCCTGGGCTGTGGGGCCAGGCAAGTCCAGGCACTTCTGCGTGTGGGTGAGAGGGTCACCTTGGGGTCCTCCAGACTGCGTTGGGGTTGGACAAAGCACCCCCTGATACCCTCAGGGCAAGTCTGGCCTGTGCCCCGGGGGTGGGGGCAGAGGTGGGCAATAACGGCCCCACAATCACGTTCTTTGTCTTGCCCCCAGAACGGTTTTGCTGTGGTGCGACCCCCAGGACACCATGCGGACCCTTCCACAGCCATGTAAGAGCCATCATCTGCCTCCTGACCCTGTCTGCTTCCCGCCCGAGGAGTCTGGGCCAGGCCAGCTCACTGCCAGGCTCCTCCCATCAGGAGTAGGCTGGAAAGGACACGGATCCCATGTGCTGTAGTAGCTAGTCATACAGGCCAGGAGCAGCTCAGGCTGGGAGTCCCCGCTGAGCTACCAGCCTCCAACCTTGGCTCCCCATTGTGCAGAGTGGGACTGACCAGCAGTGGGCAGGGGGGAGGGGAGAACCCACCCCATGGAGGCAGTGACGGGAGGGGAAAACCCACCCCGCCAAGAGGGCAGTGGTTGGAGGGGGAGAATCCACTCCGTCCAGAGGGCAGTGGGTGGAGTGGGGAGAACCCACCCGTCTGGAGGGGCGGGAGAACCCTCATGCACGGGCAGGGTAGTGGCTGTCTCGGAGGATGCAGTGGCTGCTTGGGGAGGGTGCCTAGGCACTGACCAGCTCCTACTCTTCCCTCCTTGCAGGGGTTTCTGCTTTTTCAACTCAGTGGCAATCGCTGCTAAGCAGCTGCAGCAGAAGGGGAAGCTCAGCAAGATCCTCATTGTGGACTGGGTGAGTCTCGTCCAGCCCCACTGGCCCCCCGCTTTCTCCCCACTCTGTCCTCTCCTCAGGCTGGAGCTGTTCTCGATGGTTCCTCCCAGCTAGCTAGCTCCGGGCAGAGCCCAGTCCGCTGTATGTGATGCAACAAGCCACATGTCCCCAGTGATCTGTATGTACACTGATCGTACAGCGTTGTCCTGCCTTCGAGGCCAGTGGCTTTGCAGATAGGGGTTGTGGGCTGGGGTTGAGTGGGTGGGTTAGTAGGCAGCCGCGGGTCAGGGTTGAGAGGCACTGGCAGAGCTAAGTGGGTGGGTTAGGAGGGGGCTGTGGATCAGGATTGAGGGGCACCGGCAGAGCTGTGGGTGGGGTGGGTTAGCAGGGGGCTGCAAGTTGGGATTGAGGGGTACTGGCAGAGCTGTGTGAGTGGGTGTGGCAGGATCCCCAGGGTGCAACCTGGAAATAGGGTACCACTGTGCCCCCTTAACTCTCCAGCCCGAGCTGTCTCACACAATGCTTTGCTAGTGACAAGCAGCAAACTCTTCCAGGCGCTGTTATCACTCAGCATAACAGCACGTGGAGCCCCTCACCCAGCTAGATTGCATGAAGGCACCCAAAGCCACTCATGAATTACACAGAGAAATGCACCAGCTAATTCCCCCCAGATCCCCAGCCTTACACCCCAGAACTGTACCGTCCTGCCCTGGTCAGAAGCCTCAATGTGCAAAGGACATGTACCAGCTTTTGTAAACTGAGCTGGGATTTCCCAAGCACTTCAAGCAAAATACACTGTTTTAGGTAAAGTATAAAACAGTTTTATTAACTACAGAAAGCTAGATTTTAAGTGATTATTAGTGACAGGCATAAAAGGTCAGAGATAGTTACCAAAGGAAATAAAAGATAAGCGCACAGTCTAAATCTGAAACCTTATTACACTAGGCAGTATTTAGATCAAGCAATTTTCTCACCCCACTGGATGTTACAGTTTTTAATACACAGGCCTCTCCCTTAAGCCTGGACCAGTCTCCTCAGCTGAAGTCTTCATCTTCTCAGTGTTCTTGATGCTTCCAGTGTAGATGGGGAAGGAGAAAGGCCAAAGCCTGGTGCCACTGTCCCCTATTTTATATCCTTAGTCCATCTGCCTAGAAGACACTTGGCAGAGGTCTGGGCAGTCCCTGTGCTGCCTGGACTCTTCTGGGCTCCTGACTCTAGGGCCATCCCATGGACAGAGGGTGAGGAGCTCGCTCACAGCCTCTCTCTCACACAGGATGTTCACCATGGCAACGGCACCCAGCAAGTGTTCTACAAAGACCCAGACATTCTCTACATTTCGTTACATCGCCATGACGATGGCAACTTCTTCCCCGGCAGTGGGGCAGCTGACGAGGTGAGAGCATTAGCCTCTGAGCCCTTCCCAGGTTACCTCAGCTCTGCATCCTCTGGGAGACATGGGAATGGGGGCAGCAGGCGAGGGGCAGGGCATGGGGGTGCCCAAGCTGGAGCGTGGCAGGAGAAGAGCTAGCCAGATGCCCTGTTGAATGGATTCACTCTGACCCCTTTTGCACTCCTTTCTTGTGAGCACTTGTGCATCACGCATGGCTCACGTGGACGACTGCCGAGAGCCAGTGTTGCACTCGTGCTCCCGGCCAGGTGGAGCCTGTCAAGTTTGCGGCAGGTCTGCGCTCTAGAGCCAGGAGCCCACACCTGGAGACGAATGGTGGCAAAAGGGACGTTCAGAGAAAAGCTCCAGGAACCGTCCCAGCCCTGGCAACCCTGTGTGAGGTCGAGGGGCTGAAGGAGTGGCAGATCCTTAGCTTAACAGAGAGCAGGGAAGAATCGACCCAGGCCTGAAAGCATGCACATGGGGAGGAGATTTCGGAGAGCAGGGAGCTCTTTAATCTTGCAGACAAAGGCTGAATGAAATCCAATGGCTGGAGCTGAAGCCAGGCAAATTCAGACTGGAAATAGGGTGTGAATGTTTAAGCAGGGGTGGGGGGGGCAGTTAGCCATCGGAACATCTCCCCTAGGGATGGGGAGAGTTCTCCATTGCTCGGAGTCTGGCTGTCACTTTCTACAAGATCTGTTCTGGCTCAACCAGATGTATTGGGCCAGAGGCAGGACACCCTTGGTGGATCCCATGGGCTGGGCATGCGATGCAGGGGCTCAGACCAGATGGTGATGATGGTCCCTTCTGGTCTTAAACTCTAGGAAATCGGGTGAGCACAGGGTGACCACAGCAGGGCCAGGGGAGCTGGGGTTGGTCCTGTGTAGGGTAGGAAGCTGGGGGAGGTTGGAGCGGTCCCTGGGGTCACCAGGGGAAGGTCAGGTGGAGATGGGGGCAGAAATTGGGGAAGCTTGGACAAGAGATGGGCAGAGGGGAAGTTTGGTAAAGTCTTGGGTTGATTGGGGAAGCTTGGGCAGGGCCACATGGCTCCTGTTGGTTGGGGAGGCTGGGTGGGGTCTGATCAGAGGAGGCTGGCCAGGGTGAGGGAGGCTGAGCAGGTCTGTACTGCTTTGCTCACTCGAGAGCACCCGGCACCTCTCTGCTGTCCTTGGCTGAGCTCTGCTTAGCTTCTGCGGTAAAGAATTCCCCAGGCCACCCCTCCCCAGGGCTGGGTGCTCTGCACAGCTTGCCCAAGGCCATCCTGCCCCCAACCCCCAGGGCTCTATGCTCTGCGCAGCTCCCCCAAGGCTGTCCGGCCCCCCCAAGGGCTGTGTGCTCTGCAAAGCCCCCAAGGCTGTGCTGCCCCTGACCTCAGGGCCGGGTACTCTGCACAGCTCCCCCAAGGAGCCGTGTTCTCCCTGCAGTGCGCTGGAGGCCAGCCTGGCTCGGGGAGCCTGGCTGAGGAGGGGGAAAGGCAGAACACAGATACCGTCCAGTCCCTCATCCTTTACAATGTACTTTCGAGGGGCTTTGTGCTGAGCGGTGAGGCAGGCCGAGCTCCCGTCCCTCGTCCAGGGGGATGGCAGAGCTGCTGAGGGCGGTTTATGATGCTTAGCCAGTAGCTGTGGTTACTAAGCACATTATGAGCTGTTTTCTCCTCCATGTCTTCCTGCCTATGCCGGGCCCACGGTGTCACGTGGCAGCTGCTGATGGTGTTTGTCCCAGGAATGAGTGTCAGCTCCTCCCTCCGAACACACCCAGCTGTGCAGGACAAGGCCTGGGGGGCTCCCCGTCTGGCTGAGAACACCATTTCAGCAGCAGACTGCACTGAGATCCACCACCGCCATCATGTCCATCAAGTCACCCCCCCCCCTCACTGCCAGCCTCACCTTGTGCAGCCATCGCACAGGTGCAGAGCAACCCTGACTTGGGCCCCTGGGGCTTCCCCTGCAGGAATCCCACTGGGGATTATTATTTTAGGGATGTCAAGGCCTTGATGCACCGTTCTGACTGCCCCATCTCAGCTCCAGCACCTCCCAGGCCAGAGGTTCCGCACAGTGACTCCTGCCCCCCAACCCAGATCTCGCCTTCGAGCCAGCCTCAGTTGACAGGCTGTGAGGGACGGACAAATCCCCCACGCCCCTGGGGAATCAATTCCAACGGTTAATTCTAAACATCCCGTAGACGAGCTTCGGCGGGCGGCAGGATTCCCCTCCACTTCCTGTCCCATACAGTCCCCAAGCGCTGCTGAGCCCAGGTAAAGCAGCTGTCATGCAGTGGAGAGTGTGCAAAGCACAAGGGGTGACATGCCATAGGGAAACACCACAACTCCTTACTGCGCATCAAGGGCTCTGCTTTGACAATTCCTCTGAGGTGGAGCCATTGCCCTGGGCTGGAACCAGAGCCCAGGGACCAGCTGTGGACTACGTGGGTCTCCAATCTGGCATCGCTGTAGCCGATCCTGGCTGGGGAGCGTGTAGCTAAGAGCTTCCCTGGCGTGGCACGGCGGGCCCTGCCATGGAACACCATGCCCTCTGCTGCAGCGCTCTTCCTTTCTGTCTTCCAGGTTGGCTCTGGCGCTGGCGAGGGATTTAATGTCAATGTGGCTTGGACTGGTGGGCTCGACCCACCCATGGGGGATCCGGAGTACTTGGCGGCTTTCAGGTAGCCTTCCTTTGGGTGGCTCTGTTCCGAGCCACGCCTCCCCCCC